TAAGTAAAAGTAGTAAGTAAAACCGTAACTAAGAATAATATACACACACTATATAATTTAATTATATATATATATATATATATATATATATATATATATATATACAAGTTTTCATTGATCAAAATATGTAGTCCTCTAGTGGCTCAACAGTAAGTCTGAAGGATCAGATTGCTAAGCATCAAGTTTTGATACTCATAATGGCCACAGCACAAATAGTCCATTGTGTAGCTTTCTGCTTAAAAAATGTGTTAATGAGAAGTGGAGGAAAATCAGGCATGTTATACTAGGTTATTTTTTTCAAAGAAATTTACTTCTATAACAGTAGTTGGAGCCAACAACTAGTCAACAGTATTGGCTATACCATTTAATGTATCAAATATCATTACTTTTTAATTTTGTTTTTTATTATTATACTTTCATTATAGAATTGGTTTGCATTGTCAGCTTTATGTGTATATTTAGGAGTAAATTAAATCTCCTAAGCTTGCTGAACTTTCTGAGATATTGGGATTATGGCAAAATATTACCAATAGCAACAGTACCAGTCTGATGAAACAAAACATTTTAATCTCTATAAGTAAAAATGTAAGAAAAGTATATTCAAGGAGATATACTGATTGCAAGGTTGATTTTTAGAGTCCCTCTAAATAGATAGCTTGCTTTGATTGGAAGTTAATATGAATTAAACACACAACCCAGATCTGAGGTATACTGGATTATCCATAACTTGAACAATTCTCTTCCTAAAGGAATGTTCAGTTTGATTTAATTTATATTTTGGAAGTTCAAGACATAGGTTAAGAATTCATGTATAGTGAATTCATGTATAGTATAAGTATTATGTATAGTGTAATTTTTTTTATAGAAAATTAATAGTCTTTTGAACATTTGTTTCTCCAGATTCAAGCAATTTTTTGTGGTATTTTTTTTAGATTGCAATTATTGTACATCAGACAGCATGATAGCCAAGTGCTATACATGTTTTTCAACTGTTAAGCAATCGCTGCTGTGCAAAATTTTTGAAATAAACTATCCCTTGTAGTGTATACAGGTTAGCCGTCTTGACACTACTTTTGGATAAAATGCTATTTTAGCTTATAAGTTTATGAAAAAAACTGTATTGATGAATATGTAATTTTTAAAAATACATTTCTTTTCCCATCAAAAGAGCTTTTGGCTTATTTGTTACAGGTCTAGCACAGAAAAAAGTTATATGAACATTAAGATGCTTTATGGTATTCTTATGGAAAACTAATATTTCCCCAAGTGGCAAGATATATCTACAAAATAACTGGAGATTGAATAAAATATTTATTTTGAAGTATTTCCAAGTTCTTTTATTTGAGAAAGAAAGAAACTGGTCACTTTGTAAAATACACAATGAAAACAAAACTTTATTAAAACTTAAAAACAATCAAAGTTAAATAATTGTATTAGATGAAGGATGGTGCTTTTACTTGATAAATAACTTTCTAATCTGTTCTAAGAACTTATTAAAACGTTTGTTAAGAACTAATGACAATTACAGGTTAAACTGTAGGAGAATATTACAGTTTACAGAAAAGCGTTAAACATCACTTACCAAACTAAGGACTTGAGCTTGACAGAAAGAAAGAGAAAGAGAATTAACGAAGAGATCACAGTATTATATACCAAAGTCTAATATACTGTCCCTCTCAAAATGTGAATACACCTATCTCACTGTTGATCAATCCCTTTGAAACATAAGGGACGTTATAACCGTAAGATATCACCTACCATTGGAGGACACTGCTGTCTACATTCATGCACAAAATGCAGCTTTACAGTCATACCCCCCTCCCCTCCACACACACTCACACACCCATGGGTAAATGTTATCTCACAAAATTACAAAGAACAAAGGCAACTAGAAAGAAAGCAATGTAACAAATTTACTGATGACCACATTTTATGTGAAAACTATACATACACGGAGTAACTTATTAATACTAAAAATTATATGGTATGTCTGCATACCACAGCTTCATAAATGTTACTGAATGATAGTACTTATGATGTATGAAATTATCAGCTGAGTATTTCAGTTTCGAACTCTATCAGCCATAGATGCCAACCCTGTAAGTGTTCTAGGGTACAAGCACTCATAGAAAGAAAAAAATGTGTAGGTGTTCAGTACATAGTGGGTTTTTGATAAAATAATGTAATGTAAAACTTTATTTGCAGATAAAAATGCCTAATTTCTTTTTTTTTAAATAAATCAAAGGCTAAAAAAATTGAACCTTCTTCTACTTGTAATCATAATATGCATCAAAGCCTCTGACTCCATGGGTGCATTCATAGCTTGAATTGTGTGAAGAAGACTCGTTAAGAAAGCAATGTGATTTAAAGGGTAGAGCTATAAGGAAAGAAAGTAACAGATTTTAAAGCATAGTATGTACCAGTAACATGGAATTTTAGCAGGTTGATACAAGCTAGTGTTTTACCAATTCATTTAAATGGAATAAATCAGTTTTAAATGTTTTTAAGCATGAGAAACAACTTGTTGCAGATGTGTTTTTTAACACACACACCTTTGTATTTTAACTTGATAAATTGCTTGAAAAAAGATTCTTCAATCATGTAAATGTACTTAATTTTTTGCAAGAAAATAATTATAATTATGAATAATATATTTCATATAATAATTTAGGGTCTAAGTGTAAAACTATGCCCAAAAAGACAAAGGTGTAAAATATTCAGGTCCATTGCTGTCATGATTAGTAGCCTGTGCAGTCACATTTAGAAGTCTAATGATTAAATATTAACATTTTTTTGTTTTTATAATTATATAATAATTACTAACTAGTTTTTATTGTAGGTTTCAGTTTCTAATCAGCTGTGATCTTCAGGGAATTCACGAGAAGTTCTATTTATGTTAGCAGTGTCCAAAGTTCAATAACTGAGTCTTGAGGAGAAGTCTTGTATGTTATCCACACAAATAGTTCTTTTCTATCAAGAAGATCCAATATTGAATCCTGGCTAATACAACACAGAAATAGTTCTAAGAATTTCTGTGAAGATGGCAGCAGATTAGCAACCAAAATGTGGGATAAGAACTATTTAGTAATTAGTATCTGATTAACAACAAAAAAAACTAATCATTAGACTTAGTTGATTTTAGGCTGCCATCCCTTTGTTCTCCTGGAGAAGAATAGTCAACTATTTAAAAGTGCTCAAGTTTTGGGTCTTATTTTAAGTTCATGACAATGATTGGTATCCAATTGCCATAACCTTACTGTGAGTATTCAGGTATATATAAATATGTCCATGAGTAAGTACACTTATACAGGACACAAGAATGATTCTAGTTTTTAACAATCATTATTATTTTTTTATATTATGAAATTGGAAATTAACCTTGTGAATATTCTGTTGGCTTTTCATATGTTATTGTAATTTGAAAAGTCCAGTAAACATAAAACTTGGTTTTTATATTATTTTTTTATTTTATACCTGTGCTTTTTTCATGCGAATACACAAAAAAACTGACATTTACATGTAAACAAAGAATGATACACTGTATCTGTTAAAGAATTTCAAATTGCATGTTATATACATATGCATTCAATATATGAAGTATCTTTGTGAACACTACTTTGAACATTTGCTAATTCAAAGATGATTATCATGTTTGTCATTGTTTGATTGTTATTTGTTTGTGTTATTACATCTACACAAGGATAAAATAATCATTTCATCATAAATGTGTGATTAGATTATACATATTTTAGTTAATATGCGTTTATTTATGTTTCAGTTGAATATTTAACATATTTGAATTATGTGTAACACTGTTTTCATCCTATGATTTTAGGGCTGCCTGTTCAAGTCAGGGATCATGCACTAAATCTGAAAGATGAAGTGCCAAAGTCAGATGTGAACAAAGAGTATTATTCACAGAATATGGAAAGAGAGGTGAATGAATATTTTTGGACATTTACCACACAAGCTGAAAACTTTGTGGTTTATCATAGGATATAGATATGCTTACACTTAACTGGGGGAACGTTTTTTGAAACATTTGTTATTTCTTAGGCTTGTTTTGATTGTTTGCTAATATACTAGGTTTCTTATGCTGGGCTGTAAGAGAAGAACTTATCCATTATATTGTAAAACTGTGTCTTCTATTGATAATATGTTGGTATGTATGTCATAAAGGTATATTTATGATATCACATTCTCATAAAATACTGGCTTGCAATAGACATAACCAAATCCACTGTTATATCAGGCTTTATCTCATAGAAAAGAAGTACTAATAACCAGAAATTGAGATTATTATATACTTCCTATTGTGTAGCCAATTTTATTATGTGTTATTATTAACTATGTTTATTATTTCCAGCCTACGTGCTCCGGCTTGAAATATTACTTTAAGTTTAACAGAACTTTTAGCTTGTTACAAAGGTTATTAAAACTCACTCTCATTCCTGTGATTACCTTAAATATTACACATATACCTGTATATGTCACACAGTGGTTTTGTGTATATTATGCACCAGTTGGTGTCTAGGAAGATATTTTACTGAACTTGTATCAGAACTTGAATTAAATAAGCAAATAATGTGCATGTTTTCCTTATATCTATAGTCTACTGTCTGTCTATCCAGTTAATATAAACTGCTACAAAGTTTCAAGCAACAACACCTTAAACAGGAAAGTTTAAAACTGAGCAGAAAGATTAGGATAATATTTTTTTTCAGAATGATATTTCTTTCCTT